GTTCTTAGTGCCCTCAACTAGCATTTATTTAAAGGCAAAGGTTTCATTTTTATTGTTAGTTTCTTAAAGCCAAGGCTAATCAGTCGCTTTGATAGCTTTAATCTTACTAGGGAAATCGCACCATATGTACGTGTTCGCTTTGATAGCCTTAATCTTACTAGGGAAACCGCACCATATGTACGCGACACACACACACACACACACACACATCCACACACACACACACACACGCACAAGATAAAGTTCAAAAGGCTAGTTGGTACCACTTGAGGGCAAAATAGTATGATACATGTACGGTTTCCAGTGGCTGTGAGAAAGTGAAATTTGTGTGTACGTGTACCGCTCGAGCGAGGGCAGAAAACCAAAAGCACCACAAAATGGCATTGCAACCCAAACACAATCCAGAAGAAGTGAGTGGAGTCAGTCAATCCATACTACTATTAATTATCATAACCAAGAGATCCTACCTACTACAGTAACTACTATGCAGCTGCTCCGTGTTGCCGCCCTCCTCTTCGTGGCAGTGTATACGTATGATGCCATCTCTACGTATCGGAAGTATGCCGTGGAATATCTCCGTGCTGTTTCAACGCTGGAGGAGAACGTGAAAGAGCTGGAGGAAGATGTGAGAGAGGTTCAGGCACTCCACCACTTGGGGCTTAATAAGAATAATCGTACGCATACAAATGCAACGACCACATTGGAGGAGGAGATGGAACCACACACCAAGCTACTAGTAGTGCAGTCTTCCAACAGCAGTACTACAAAGAAGGAAAAGCCTTATCTGGTCTTGCACGTGGGCCCTCCCAAGCACGCGACGACCTACCTGCAATGTGTGTTGAGTGGCACCAAGGCCCGTGAACTGATGCTGCAAGAAGATCGCTATGAGTACATGGGAACGGCGCAGTGCGAAGGTGCTCACGACGAGTCAGGACTCTTGTCGCACACACCCACCTTCTCGGAATCCATCATTGAAGGAGGAGTGAACCACAACAAGCACAAGCCAAAGTTGACCAAACAGTTTCTGCAAAAACTGGAATACTTGGAAGAACACAACATCAATGGACTCATCGTGTTTGAAATGCTTGGAGGCAATCTACTCATGGCATCGTCCAAGTATCCACAAGCCTTTCCACTCATTCTAAACACGGTCATGGCACGATTCCGAGTCAAGATTGTCATCAACTACAAATACCTCTTTGATTACATTACGTCCATGTACAATCAACACATCAAGCCAACGGGAAAATACAATGCGGAAAACAAAAACTGGCCGGGACAAGCAGGACCGGACGGAAAAAAGGGAGACTACATCAGACCCTTTGACACGGAATCACAGGAAGCACTCTACTATCTCAAAATGATCAAACGCAATCGACAATCCAAAACCGCCATTGTCCGACAGAAATACATTCATGCTGGAGTGGATCCTCGCGACATTTCCATCTTGGACATGACTGTCTCACATCAAACCGTACTCACGGCATTGCTCTGCGATCATTTGCCCGGAGCTTCTGGGGCGTGCGCACACGCCCGGGCGGGAACCTTTCCCATTCCTCCCAAGGACAAAATGTCGGCCAATCCGAGTTTTCCAATCAACTACGATATTCTCGCCACGGCCGCGTGGAAAGACGGGTTGGTCAACACCACCAACTTGTCGCGTGGCACGGTCATTCAAGCCATTAAAGCGCGACAAGAGAAGCAACTCAACCGGACGCTACACGACTTTCCCAAGACATGTATGGACACGAAGAAAATACAAAAGCTCTTGACACTCTCCATTGAAGTCGATCGGAATCTGTTTGGAACCAGCCAGACTCGGGAAGAAGCTCTGACCCAGAAATTCTGGGATGGCAAGCCGACCAAGTTGTGCTCGGTCGATACCAACGTAGTTCTGGCGGATCCAGAGTGGAGAGATTGGTTCGCAAATACCACCACCATGACAATGTAAAAGGCAGCTCTTTTTTGCTTTCTTGTTGGTGGAGAGATTGAGACCCCACGGTGACGGGGACGAAGGAGAAGAGCTGGGATAGGTTGCTTGCTTTCAAGCGACGTCAATCATTTGTTTGTTTGTACCAGCAAATTGAATAAAAGACGAAAACGCTAGTCACACGAACTAGCTAGCTAGGGCGCTTGCAGCAAGCTTGATCAAACCAAAACGATTTCCCTGGGGGCTCAAACAAGCACACCGATACACGTACTACAGGACGCGCTTGCGATCTACCCCCCAATCTACATGTATAGACATGGTTCAGTAGCTTTTGAGTAGTGCTTCGGTTGCGTGAAGCAACACATTGACAAACTTTGATGAATCGATGCATGGCTGGCTGGGTTGGGTTGCCTCGGTCATGGCCCGTCGGCAAAAAGAACACTTCGACTCGTCCATGTCTGGATGGGTTACGAGTATTTGCAATCCCCTAGCAAGCTAGCGAGACTATCCTGCTAGGTTTCCTCAACAGGCTCACGTACCACTACATGAAAGCATTCTCCAATTACAGATGTTCTTCCAACATCCCCGATCATCGTGTGCAGTAGCCAATCAGCTACCAAACAACGCTGATCACCACGCAAGACATCGTACCAAGGATGTCCAAACCGTTTTCTCCGACTTCAAAGTACTAGTACCGGAAAGACGGGACGCACCTCCTCTCATCGGTTGCTGCATCCAAGATACCGTCGTGCTCTCGGTTTCTGTGTTAACGGTGCTAATACCTTGGCGATTGTGCCACTACCAGTACTCTTTTTTCTGGTGCCAAAGCGCCTAAGTTCAAGGAACAGAATCATGCAAGAAGACTAGCTATGCATAGTATGCGGCTGCTCGTTCGTCCATCATCGTGGGCGGGTGGCTGGAGGGACCAAGCTACATTAAATTTTAGTGGGCTAGCATAGTCTGCTCTGTGACGAGAGCAACTCTGAGCAAGGTCTGGAGGTGAGTTGGAAGGTGAGTGGAGTCTCCGCATTCAGCATCCGTGCTTCCAAGGAAAGTTTCTTCATTTCATAAATCTAATCAGTCCTTGGACTCTGAGTCTGCGTAAATCTTGCCAGCATCGCTCGGAGTAGGATTTTGGATCCAAATGAGCTGTCATCATCATGATCGAAGCAGTCAGTCATCAGCTGCCGATGGTCTAGAGTTGCAACTGCAATAGCAATCGTCAGCGCTAGCTAGCTAGTAGCTAGTACATGTAGCTTTCTAGCCAGCTAGAGAGTGATGGGGATCACTGAAACTTGAATGAATGGGATCATGATTTCTTGAAGCTTCCATCAAATCCATAAAGCATTCCTTCCGCCAAAGAAAGCTACCCAGAGACAATGGCGAAGCACAGCGACAAATGGAAGGGATACTTTCGATGCGACGACTTGGTCCCTCCCTTGTGCGACGATGACTTGAAGGTGACCAACGGAACAGTCGAAACACTGAAAGGAGTCCACGTTGCCTATTGGCGCTACACTCCTTCCGTCCTCAAACCACACAAGTATCCTATTGTCGTCATCAATGGTGGACCCGGTCTCCCCCATAACTTCATTAGGCCACTCCGGAATTTGGCATGCGATGGACGAGAAGTGGTCATGTACGATCAAGCCGGGACGGGAGCTTCCGCATTGCCCGGGGAAGACGACGATGATGATGACAGTGAACAAGAAGATGTCACAAAGAAATATCCAGAGTTGCTAACGTTGGATTATTATGCCAATACAGAGCTACCTGCCATTATTAATGCACTAGGTGCCAAGAGGTATCATGTACTAGCGGAATCTTGGGGAACCATGATTGCCTTTGAATTTGCCGTTTCTTCTTCTTCCAAGCAGAACAAGCACATTCGTGAGGGTTTGCAGTCGTTGACCATGAATGCACCCATTGCCGATAACCGCAAATTTATCGAATACCAATGGGATCTGGACGATGGAACCGTCGGCACCCTACCAACCTACACACAAGAGCGCCTCAAGCATTACAATGACACCCAAAACTTTGACAGCGAAGAATTCCAAGAGTTGGAAGAAGTCGTCATGTCCATGTTCAATGCCCGCATTGGCGTTGTGGTAGATTGTTGGATCGAAACCGAAGAAGCTGGAATATCCAGCATCGACTATGATCCCTTGACTGGAACAACTGACATCTTCATACCGGCTCCTGGTGTGGACTTGAGAGGATGGACGGTCCTTCCAGAACTTTACAAGTTGAAGGATATTGTTCCGGTTCAACTCAACCATGGCCGTTACGACATGGTGCGCCCAAGATTGGTGGCGGACACAGCCGCCGCACTGGGATTCGACAGCGTCGAATGTCATCTCCTTCCCCAAGCAGCCCACTCCATCCTCTTGGATTCGCCCAAGGAAGTCTTCTTCTACATGGAGGGGTTCATCCAACGAGTCGAAATGGCCCGTCAGAAGAATCGCCGCTTCCAGCCGAATGGGACTTGTCCCGTTTGGAACAAGGCCCTTGGCCGAGCAGAATACAACACCATGCTGGGATGGGCCAATCATTCATCTAACATTGCTTCCACTCCCATCGTTCTATCTCTTGTCGCCATTGTCGTATCCTTTTGGCTAGGAATGCAAGTTGGGATGAAGAGGAACAAGTCGCTGACCGAGGGATACGAACCAGTAAAGAACGCAGAACAGGAGCTCGGGGGGTGAGTGCACTTGATCATTGGTTGTTGTACAAGTCAAGTCCGCAGCCAAGGCACCGCCTTACCCAGCAACCCCCTGCAGGACTCTGTGATTGTGGAAGTGGCAACGATACCTCATGAACAGTCACAAGCTAGCAATACATGTAGTTGAACAAGATGAGGTGGCTAATCTACTGGCTGGCTGGCTAGCCAGCGGTAAATAATGGATCCATCCACTGTCAGTTCACTATTTGTAGCGCTTTTCGAACTGATACGAGAGCAATCAAGAGCAAACTCGCGCATTCGACATCCGTGTTCGGTAGTGGAACTAGAAGCCGACATGGCGTGGACCAATACATGTACCGGTACCATCGCTTCCTGTGAAATAATTCCCCTCCTTTCGTTCTCAACGAGCGGTAAAGCTGGCTGGATGCAGGTTCCATGTAAACAAACCTTCTGGTGCTCCCTTGTGAAACCATTCCTGCAGGGCCCTTTGCCGAGCGGCGAGCAGAATAATGTTTGATCGAGAGAGGCCTAGCCAGAGCCAAATGCGACTACGGTAGCTTAGAGCCAAGCACTACTACTCCAGCAATAGCTCCTGGACATGATGATACCGCAAAACAAACAGGGAGCTGGGAGGTGAGATAGCAAAGATACGCCTCTGAACGAAAAGGATGTATTTCACACGCTTGAGCAAAATTGCTTTCCTGCATGTGATAATCGGGCTTTTGGGCTAGGGGTGCACGGTGCTGCACGATCTTGAATCTTTGCAGAAGTTACACTTCAACAGAGAACGTAGTCCTCCACATGTAAATGGAGGAGTTAAAGACACAACCGGCACTTTAGAAGCTTCCACAATTTGCAGCTACCTGTATTTGTGGAAAGCACCGTTGAGATGCTTTTAGAGGAGGCAGACAATGATATGAAACCTTCCTCCAGCAGGAGCAGCCCTGGAGACTGGTGAGCGAGCAACCGGTCCACTCCAGCAACAGAACTGAAGTTTTCCGTGTAATTCTTTCCTAACTGCGCATTTTTGTTTTCTGGAGTTCCAAGGCCCCTCTAAACAGTAGCCACTTTTATGATGTCTTGATGCTCCACTCTTTTTTAGGAGTTTGAGTAGATCGTTAACAGCTAGGTGTTTGAATGGTTTGTCATTGAGGCGGAGAGGTCCTTGCTCAAAATGTCAGGATGCTTGCTGTCATCATTATTGTGGAGGAGAGGTCAGCCCTCACCAGATTCCAGAACAAAAGTCATTGCGTTGGCCATGGTGGAGAGATCTTTATACTGGAAGTGGCCTAGTTAGTATGAATTCACGCAACGCCTTCTGGACATGTAATTGCTGAACGTCAAGTGTGTGAGTCAATCTGCATTTACCGAAGACACCAATCAATCAATCAACCAACGGTGAAATAGATCTATGATAGCTACTGGAGTTGCGGGGAATGGACTTTTGCAGTACTTCCTTTTGGGGGCTACTGCTGGTTTATGTCAATCTTCCACTTTGAGTCATGCTATCGAATTGCAGCAATCTTCGAGATTCCATCTTTCTTCCAGATTATGTCACCCAGTACTAATTTCTACGCCATTTTACGTGGAGCTTTCCAGATTGCGTCATTCTTCCACATTGAGTCATTCTTCCATTTTGAGTCATTCTTCCGTATTGCATCATTCTTCCAAAAGCAAGGAATTGAACATTGTCAAACACGCAAAAACAGGTATTCCCGCAACTCCACTGTATGATAGCTACATGTAGTAGTACGACTGTGTCAGTACCATAGCTACACTTCTCACTCAAACTTAAGATAAGTGGTTTAAGATACGGAGTACTCAGATTTACAGAAATATTAAGATAGTCTAATCTAGACACTCAGATTTCCCAAACCAGTATGATAAGCTACGAGTACCAACGTCTCAAATGCTAAGCTAATACTACTGCTATGTGCTGAGTGAGGGCAGCTAGTATACCCACCATCTTCCATGGTGATCCAAGTCCTCCATCCCCAGCTTGAGGTGCCTCCTCCACAACAACAACAACATTGGTTTCATCAATTTTTGCTTTGAACCTTTGCCTTCTGAGGCTTTGGTGGTGGATCCTCACTGTCTGAGGGCATGGTGAGTAGTAGGGTATGTGGCAATAGCTGCTAGTGGCTACAGTATAAGATATGAAAGATACTGAGATTTGGCTGCTGGTAAGAGCATGCGCGCTGGTGTGAAGCAAAGCAAAAGGTTTTTTGCCGCAAGTGATGACAGGCTCGCACCCAAGCTATGCTTGCGCTCAAAATTCACCTCTCAATCATGCATTGGACATTTCGAAGATATGATATGACGTGTCATTTCTGTCCTTTAAGTAAACGGCGGACAGACGCTTGCTTCGGCCTTTAAATCGCTTCATTTTTCACCAAACCGAACCCGACTTGCTTCAAAAGGAACCTTCAGCAACCAGTCGTGCAACGTTTTTTGGCCTGGCATGCAGCACGGGTAACCGCCGGTGTCACACCTTTACTTATAGTGACGTCACTTGAAGCGTTTTCTGTTTGCTTTGCTTCACACCAGCGCGCATGCTCTAAGATAATGGCTCCTTTTTAAAAGATATTTCCAGTGCAGGGCTCAGAATTTAATTATCTTAAATATAAGGTAGGCATGTACGTACTACTGGCGAAAAACGGGCTAAAAAGTAGGGATGGTGCGGGTACCAGTTCTTTGGAGCAGACTTTTTGAGAAAGTGGAAGTACGATATTAAATAAGCTTTTGCACAAGAAGGAAAGCATCTTATTACTTCTCTTAGTAATCCCACAAAATCACACAATCTCAGTTTGTCCTAGAGAGCACAAGACCATTAAATGAAATAGCTTGATTGAAAGAGAAAAGAGAGCACGAAACAGTGGTAAGTGGTAAATTTTGGCTGAAAGCAACAAAGCAACTTTGTAAAACCGCTTGGATGCATGGAGGTGTCGATGTTCCTGCCAGCGGTAAAATTGCTTGGAGCCCTGAGCCCTGAGCTTTGATCGGAAGTTCACGATCTGTGATCTGGTTGGAACGACTGTTTGGCAGCGCTCACGTTTCTGCCTGAAACCCTTCCAACCCCACGAAATGATCTCATAAAAACAACGACAACTCAACAACAACGACCCAACAACACAAAGTAATCCACACTATTAATATCACCATGGCCAAGTCAATTCAAGACCGAGAATCCAGAGCAGCCCGCCGCATGCGCTACTACTTCTGGGAGATTGCCACCGAGACGAATCAAGCTGAGACCACCCTCAACACCAAGCCACAGCAACCCGAAGAAACAGACGACATTCGACTGCCTTTGGCAATGCCCAACTCCTTTCAACGATCATCCGTCTCCTCATCACTGACATCGAAGCGACCGCCCATGATGACAGACATTTCGGAAAGATCGTCTATGAGCACCAACATCTCTGGATTGCGCACAGTCGTAGGATTGACCGACTATTCCGAACGATCGTATTCTACTTGCACGACATCGCGATCCGCACTGACCGATGCTTCAGAACGATCCTTTCTGACTTGCAAGTCTTCTAGCACCACAACCTCTAGACCTGGAGGCCTGGCCACCTTGAGATCCCTGGAAACTGATCTGAACAAGTCTGGAACCTGGGAGCTTCCCTCTGTCGATTTCTCAAAGTAGAAGGAAATCGGCGCAACTGAAGAATAGAGGGATATCATTTTGAACACAATATGACTAATACAAATGTATCTATAGAACGACAGCTTTTACTGATACATATGCATACATCATCAAAGCATCTTCTAGATGGCAAGATGGCTAAATCCTACCGGTATTCTTGGGATCGTACGCGGCTTTAGTCGAAGCAGACTGCGAGCAAGATACGGTCCTCTGACTGCAGTATCCCGAGAGGATCAAAACGGGGAGCCATCCTATCGCATCGCACCACAAGATGGCAGAAACGCTACTCTTCTACCGAACAGCCAGTCACCAACCGGTCGTCGCCACCTTTAGAAGTGTCACCCTGCTACATCGTAGTAATCTCACACTCGTGAACCTCTGAAAACCGGTAGACAGGTACATTCTCGCCTCTGTAGCTAGCTACATGTAGATAGCTGAATCTACATGTACCGGTGGTAGCTATCTTTTGAGCGAGAGTGTACCATACCGGTTCGTTTGTTCCTTGGCAACCCTTAGGTTTGGCAACCTTTGTTAGGACGAGTTGAAGCAAAGACTACTTTGTGCCCTCGATTTTTGTGTCGAAAGTGCCCTCAACCAAGAAACGGAACGCTACTAAAGTTTCAGCCTGACAAAGGAATGTCGTTTATTGTTTCCGGAGAACTGCGTGCTTGACATTCCACGGCTGTAGCAGTATCTGTAAATCTAATTTGTGTCACCCATATATCTATCTATCTTATGCCTGGACCACCGCCTTCACGCTTTTAGACACTCCTCTTACGAGCACCTAAAAACTGTACTCAGAAAGCATGTTCCAACCTTTCCATTTGCCTTCGGCTTTCTGGCTAGATGCGACAATCCTATGGCTAGGATCATTGCGGCTGTGCCGTCCACTACCCATTGTACCGGTTTCAGGTCTTTCAAAAGTCCCCGAATCATGTCCGAGTTGAGTGCTGGAGCTGTGCTAATCATTGTATTCGTGCAGTTTCTCTTGCCGTTCCGACTTCAAAGCCAGCAGCTGCTCTCTGGCTGTGGATAAAGGGTCACTAACGGGAAGCAGGTTCCAGCAGATTGGCGAGACACGATCACCCGAGATCCCGATCTTCCGGATCACTCTTGAAGGCTCGACCGGCAAGAATAATACATGATTCTTTTTGGATTGGTCATGGTTTTAGTCGTTGAGGAGGCTGGAGGCACTGTTCGTAGCTGGGGCCGAATTTGGATCCTCGATACATAGAATCCTGTGGAGTCCCAACTTTTCTGTCAAACGTGTTGTTGAATTCTTGAATGTACTCGTTCTAACGGAAGCAATCAATCAATCAAACAATCAATCCAAGAGTATCCCTTTGACAAAAGTCCTGGTGGCCAAGTTGGGATCCCCGTTGGCAGCTAGAAAAGATCATCCTTTGTTGCTTGTTTTGCACACAAGCCCTGTGACCGAGTTAGTTGTTGCCATTCTTGTTGTGTGTCTGGTTGCGATAGTTAGGACTCTGGTACATTGCCTCGAATACACTTAGATATCCCTTAGAATCCGGATGGTTGTTGGTTTTGAGCACGTTGAACTGCTTGGCATGGGTACACCAGTCCATTTGATCCTCGTAACAATCAAACCACTTTCCTTCACCGTGGACTTCACAGTAGGGTCGACTAAGCTTCTTTTGTTCCTTTGGTTTTCCCAATACCACATTCAACGGCATGGATTGCGAAAAGCTGGAGAATTGTCCTGCAATCAAGACATCGGTGGATGCCAGTAACATCATATCGCCCAACGTGGCTTTCCACTTGCCAAAGCAAGTGTCTTCATCCAACCCCTCTTCTTGGCCCTGTCCCAAAAAGACTCCCGTTCCCGCTTGTTGATGATGTTCTGGGGCCCACTGTGCAATGGTGATTTGCCCTACCAATTGCTTTCGAAACAGACCGACATAATCTTGATTGTCAGTGGCGACAAAGAGCACCGGTTGAGGTAGTTCTTGGCCTCCATTGTCTTGTTTGGCCGTTTCGAGATACTTTAAAATGTGCGCACTGACTTTTTCCACCCATTCTTCCGGTGTGACTCCCATCTGTCGATTCTTCTCGGCAAAGTCTCCCTTTTCTCCGTTGCCATCCCGCACATGTATCCCAATGGCCAATCGATTTTCAAAATTGTCCTGAACGAATTGTTGAATTTTGTCCTTGTATCGGTACCGATCCATGAGTTCGGCAAAGAATTCATAGTAGGCGTGCAGTTCTTCCGCGACACAATATTTGTGTTTGAGAGGCCAATAGCCTGTGATTTCATTGTCGGTCCGATAGTACTGTCCCTTGGACTTGACATATGCCTGCAATTCGGCGGGAGTTTCCTCACGAAAGAGATGTTGGAAAACTTCCGTCTCACCGCAGTATCCCCATACCACCCTCAATCGGAATCCCAAGATGTAATGTGAGGCATGATAGGCCACGGCCATGCGACACAAGCGGTGTCCCAGGCCACAACAGGCGTAGTAATCCAAAACACTCATTTCTTCGATGGGTATGGGTTCTTCTGGTGGCGCTTCTGTGGCTGGACTCTTTTGGGTATCTTTTTGTTTGACTACTAGTTGTGTTTCTTCTTCCTTCAGAGTGGAGGTTGTGACATTCCTCTGAAGGGAGGATAATGTCCCCACATCGAGCCATTGTAGCTCCCATTTTCCAGTGGACCACAGATATTGGGCCACCATGCCAAATCCAAAGACTGCCAGAAACACGAGCGATTTGCGAACCACAACAAGGCGTTGACTGCTGGATTCCTGACACTGCTGCTGCTGATGCTCTCCCTTGGGCATCAGCTTGTTGCGGAGCCTCTTGCTTCTTGTAGATACCATCTTGGTTCCCCCTCTGTGGTTCTTTTTGTTTGTGCGCTCTATGTGTGAAAGGGATGTTGTGGTTGGGTCTTTTGAGAGTCTTTTTTGGTGATCTGTGCCGGTCATAGAGGGTGTTTTACTATTGCTATAATATTATTGCTCTACGTAACTCTCTCCGACAAGCCCTCAATGTGCGCACATACACAGTAGCTTTGTGCATCATGTGAGCATGGCATCAGCATGACCCTGCCTCCGCTGCACACTTCGGGCTCCTTAGCTGAGGCGGATTGACCTAAAGTGGCAAATCAGTCTGTACGGTATACAACCAGTCTAAGGTGATGTAACCATCAAGGAAAGATAAAAACAAATACTTTCGACACCCCAGGAGATGATAAGTCCCTGCTACATTTACACAGGACCTTGAATCAAAAGGACGTGTCAAAAGCCAAGCTCCCTTGATGGAACAACTCAGTGTGGATGCAATCCATTAGCTGACTTGGGTCCAATGCCAAGCCATGACGCGAAAGAAAAGTTCTGGCAAAATTTGCACTTCTATCTGGCTAGATCGTCTGGGAGAATCCATCTAAACGAATTGTCCGAACAACTGGTCTCTAGCTAGGTAACTGGAGTCAAAATTCGATGATCCAAGAACGCAGCATTTCATCGGCAGCCAGCCAACGGTGGAGATGCACAGGAAAAGACGTGGCGCTGTGACTGGGCCGTCGGCAGTAGGCTAGGACCCATGAAAGACAAGGTACCCGTAAGCTCTGGCAGGCATGTCATCTGGTTCCTTGATGGACAAAACGCGACAGAGGATTCAAGTGGCTGATTGTATGGGTGACCAGGAAATTTCCTTCTCATCAGGATATTCTATCGCTTGTTCATCACCCCTTCTTTTGTTGGCAACTAGCTATCGGTATCTACCGGAAGACCCAAAAGAAGTGCTGTTTTAGCTTCTCTGGCGGAGGGACCTTTCCTGCACTGGCCCTCTGGATGCGAAAGATGCAAGAGGTCAGTGCTGGGAACTGGGACCGGCAACTTTGCTTTGTGCCTGAGCGCGAATGAAAAACGACTTTTCCAACCAGTCACGACTTGCGTGCATGGCTGATTACATAGCTATGCTGGCTAGCTATTAATAGCTAGAACCTTTCGGTAGCCTGGAGACGACGCTTTGCCTGGGCCTGCCTCGCTCCCACAGAGCTGTCGACTTTGGAGCTTTCTCCGTCAAGTCATACTTTTACAATCAGGCAATTACCAAAACGAAAGCAAGCACATACCATCATGGTGCGTCCAACAAGAAGCCGCAACCATTCTCCCACACTCAGCACCGCGAAGCAATCTTCAAAAGCAAAGTCTTCAAGCCACAGAACCAGAGACCAGTCAATGCGAGCTCTCTTCGACAAGGACGGGTCCGACAAACTACACGGGACGGAGACGGTCGATACTTATGCTGTCCCTGATGGCGATGATGATGCCAGCTTAGATTTGTCGAGCCTGGAACTAGACCAAAAGCGAGGCGACATGGATCGCAGCAATCATACTAGTTTCAGCAACCACTGGGATGAATCCCAAGAAGAGACTAACCAGCGTCGAAAACGCCTCGAACGAATGAGAGAGGAAAGGGATATGCAAGTTCGAATGATACAGATGAACAAGGCACTGGAAGAGAGCAACAAAACGAGTGTGTTTGGTCAAAAGCTGAATCAGTTGTTTGGATCCAGCCTCCCCAATTTGGATGTCTCGTTCTCGGTAAGAGCAAGTGGTTCCTTGAATGACCTTGAAGGCCCCTTGGGTGTGGCATTTGGCAAATCCAGGCCACGAAAGACGCTTCTGGATCTTGGAGGAGGATCTATGCGGGATCTCTTCACTATCCAACAAGATCAAGAGTCCACTGAATACGACACCAGCAATGCCTCCAAACCAGGACCTTTGAGCCGACTGATGGCCAAGAGAAACAACTTCAATAATCTGAGCGATGAACCAGCCAACACGAGTGGCGAGGAGGTGAAGGAAGGATCCAAGTCCCCCAAAACAACCCCAAAGAAGAAGAGGTTCGACGACCTGAGCGGAGACGAAGACGCAATGCAAGATAGTGCATCGTCCTTGCCCTCGCTGAATCTGTTGGGTGCTGATGACTTTGAGGTATGCAAGAGCGGATCGACCAGGCACCGCGAGGTCTCGCCTCGGGGTAGGCAAAGAAAGGACTTGTCCCCGGCACCGGTAGGAAGCCAACCACCACAGCATCGTTCCAGGTCATCACCCCGTCGCCCCCCTAGGCGTTCTCGCATGGTTCGCAGCACAGTAAGCAACGAGATTGCCAAAGGGGTCGAGCAGACAAAACCTCGTCGCCGGGGAAGATCTCCGAAGAGTGTCGAGAAGAAACACCGTCGTCGCACGGGACGAACTGTATCGAAAAGACGAGAGCCTGAGAAGAACCGATTTGAACATAGAGCGTAATCCTATTCCGCCTGCCTTTTCTTTGCCTATGCCTGGCCCCTCGGCGGATTCCATAGATAACTTCCCCACTCTAAAACCCCTTGCTCATATAGTGTGTATACAACGTCCATATCATGTTTCCTCGGAGAAGGGACAACTAACTGGTTGTCCGACCCAATTCTTTTTATGCCTCGGGTTTTCTCTGCCATTTATTAGAAGCTCGCATCTCAGGAATCTCACAAAGATCTCTCCGAACCACCCTGGTACTGGTACTGGTACCGGTACCGCTGATGCGAGTGACGCGTGTCGTGTACTCCGAAGCTGCATCTGCGCTGTGCTCTGTGCAGCAACGATGCTTGGTGGTCTCTGGCGCAATAGTTCCGATCTAGCTTGTTGCTTGTGCTGCGGCATGTTCCACGTCTTGAAAGCAAGAAGGATGCTACTAGCTAGAGACAAAAACAGGGAAGTGAATAGTTTTTCGGCCGTGAATGTGCGACAATACCATTGTGCATTGATTAATCTAACGATCTAAGAGATGTAAAGTTTGTATTTCCAAATAAGTGAGCCCTACTCTGTTTGGGTGCCCTATTATCTGGTCCAGCAAGCTACAGACTGATATTACTTGAGCTCCACTGCTGCTGAGTATGTTGCCTTCAGCATGTCAATGAGGGAGCTGCTTCCTATGCGAGTCTTGCTCAAAGAAATTGGTAGCAAACTGAATATGCCGGTAATTACTGACAGTCTCGTGCGCTCTACAGTGTTCGAAGACAACCAAGGTTGCTGTTCTCTTGTGAATGTTCCCAAATGTCTGCGCGCAACAAGTATTTGGCATTGAAGTACCACTTCTCAGGTCCAATATCGGGGAGTCGAAGGGCATCGTGGCTAAGTATATTCGACTCTGGAACAACGGGCCGACATTTTCACTAAGGTCTTCCGCTCCACAGTTTGCTGTCATTCGGAAGCTCCTCATGGGTGGTAATTTCCTCAGCATTTGCTGGGGACTCTCCTCCTATCGTTTCTTGCTCCAGCTTCATTTCAGCTGTAAGGGAGTGCGACGGGTTACAGCTTACAATTCAGCTTTACAGCTTTACAATTAGCAGGCTATTCTAGAAAATAATCAATACT